ACAAATGCAATTAATTTAAATAGTCACTTTTGATCAATTTAATCCTGAATAAAAGTATTAATTTGTTTAGACAAATCTTACTGGCCCCTAACTTTTAAATGATAGTGTATATGAATTGTACATAAGTACAATTTAAGGGACAAACACGAGGTTTATGTCAAAATTGGTGACCCCAAACATATAAAAATAGTCAATCTGAACAGATTATGTGGGTTCAAGTCTATTTGGCTTTTATGAGCTGAGGTGCATTGACATTTTTAAGGTGTTAAGAAAGATGTTTTAAGACAAAAATCAAATAACCTTCCAGACCCTGAGGGAGTTCTAGAATCGGAAGAGTTGTTCTGGACCGCATTGTGGGTCTGTAATGATGATGGCGCTCTCTTTGCAGGCTGGCTGAGCAGAGAAGAATTTCCAGACTCGGACACTTAATCTAGTGCTTCTGACTGTTCAAAGTTGCATGGAAGAAGTTTGTAAACAAAATCCTGCACTACTTTTTAAAAAATGAGATCCTTTAGGTGCTAAAGTTGACACGATGGGTAACACCGAAAAACGAAATATTGTGTAAATGTACAGCTATGAAAGCAGAAGGAAATGTGATGAAATGGAGTGTCTAGTGTGTGGGAAGAGTTAAGAGTGTCGTTTAAACGGGTTATTCAGGGTTTAGGATTTGAATAGATCATATTTAACTAAGAGGCCCATTAGACGTGCCATCAAGAGCTTCTGCCTGGTGCTTCTGTGATACATAAAGGCACCTGCGTCCAACACCCCATCATTTAACTCCCTCCCACCCGACTCCAGAGTCCTGTTAAAATATTGAGCAGGAACTTAAGTGTAATTTGGCTGAGTGCAGGCATTGCTGAAGGGTCCTTCATTCTCTGAAGATGTTTTGAGAAGGAACTAACGGCATCAATTATATATGTAACATCTCCGACCCAACACAAAAAAGAGCCGAATCAGCTGCATTTTTGTTGTTTATCAAGATGTCGGGAAATTTGAACGGTAGCTGTTAGCTTACTTTCTTAAATGACATTTTAGATCCATTATAAAATTCACTGATGTTAAGAAATAACAGCTAAGAATTTGCAAGCCGTTATTCTTTCATTTTAAATAAGTATAGTACATATTTATAGTTTACAAGCTACAAGAAAAAAAATTACATATTTGGCTCTTGCAATGCAGGTAATATCATTTTTATTCAGTTATTTAAATTGAGATAAGTCCTCAATTTGTCTTCGAATATTATTTTGACAATTGTTTTTTATTTATTTTGAAATTTGAAAAATTTCCCTACACTGTTTAAAAAAGTCTAAATAAATTACAATGATTTCAATTTCAGTACAATTCCAACCAATAATATATATACCAAAGCATCTGAATAATGACCAAAAACCATTAAAAATGATAGAAAGAGGTGTACAGAAAGTATAAATCAGAATGATTTAAATTCCACCAAAACCTGTTGCTTTGCACTGAAACCCAAGTGTTTGTCAGTTTCGACCAGTTAGATGATGGACATGATGCTGTCAAAGAACTTCGACTTGAAGTGCTCTACAAACAAGAAAAATGAAAATCAATATTACATGCTTTTGTTGAGCAGATGCAGCCTAAGAGCAGAAACTCTCTTAGTACTGACAGAGAATATAGAAGGAGAGATGGAGGACAACGTAGAGAAAAAAGAGCAACAGAGGTAGAAAGAGGGAACTTGAATCTTGAGAGAGAAAGAAGGAGGGTAATTATGTGGAAATGAGCAGTCTCCCAGCATGCTTCTCTCCCTCAGCGATGCAGACAGGAGCCATTTGTCATCTGGCCCAAAATGGCATCTCTGGAGCCTGTTTTAGAGACTGAGGGATTGAGAGACACTTTCTTTCTCTAATATCCTGGACTTCTATACTCTCTCTCTCTTTATCTTTAAACCCCTGTGCTCGTATCTCTCAGCCCCAGAGAGGCTCTACTAGCCACCAAGACTGAGTGAAACACAGAGGAAGTGATGTGATTAGAGGTAAAGCCCTTCCACAAGTGTCAATTCTTCTTCACCAGTGACCTCTCCTTCACACAAAGATAAATTATTTCTGTCATCCCATTCAATTAGAATCATTCACACTCCTCCAACACTTTTGCATTCTGTATTTCAGAATATATTCATTTTCATTCATGTCAAATTAAATATGATGGCTAACCTGATTAAGTAAAATATCAAAAATCAATAATGAGATGCTAAAAGCAATGAAACGTTACAATTTGGATCATGGTGAAGAAGCAGAGAAAGCAGAAGCACAAACAGAGGCAGTTTTGGGTCAACATATCCTGAACTTTACTTTTTATGCGCAAGATGATGAAATACCAAAGAAAGAGTTTTCAGAAAGTCCTGATCTTTAGCTGCTCAACAGGGAAAAATGTTGTAATTATGAGCAGAAAAAAAAAATCTAAAAAACCTAATCAAACCAGTTTATCACTGAGAAACATTTAAAGGAACCGTGCTGTTTTATGAATTGCAAAGTCACAAAACAATGAGAGAATGCAGGATATGAAGAATGAACATGAGAGGGAGAGAGACAGTAATGAGAAGGAGGAAAGAGGAGGAGAGCATCTCCCACCGTGGGTTTTGTGTTTCTCCTTTGAGCAGGGCAAGAAGAACCTTCCGGATAAATGAAACCACAACGGAGGCAAAGAGAATCAGACACCTGCGATCAGAGAAACAGGAAGCATTCCAGAAAGAGGGATGGAGGAAGAAACAGGGATAGAGTGAGATAAAGAGAGTGATGGAGCAAGAGAGAGAGAGGAAAAAGTAGCCTCATCTGAGGATGAGATAGATGGAGATACTGAGTAAATCCCCCCAAACAATAATCACTGGATGAAACCCAAAGCCTTTCATAGCACGCAGCAGGCAGACCTGATCTGGCCCTCTGGCCCTCTGGCCCGCAGGCGCTGGGGTGGGGGTGGGGGTGTGAAGGGAACCGCCTGTCCTGGGGCACTGACCAGATGCTCAAATGAAAGATCAGGATTTTTTCTCTTTGTGTGAACGAGGTTGGGTGGTCACACACACAACCTGTAACATTTCACTTGTTGATAATTTCAGTGATTTTGACAGATTATTAAGATTATTGCAACAAATGGATGATTATAAAAATGTAAATATATCTAATGTATACACAGATACATGTAAATAAATATGCAAATAAATCATTTAATAAGTAAGATTAATAATATCACATATATGTAAATATGTATACATAAATGAATAATTACATATAAACATTCTATATATGCAAACCATTAATAATATTTATGTTAGCCAATATTATATAAATATTCATAAAATTATATAGAATCTGAATTATGCACATAAAGAGTGTATACAGTTCTTTATTTTTATATTATTTAATATTTGTAATACATATAAAGTAATAAACAGCTGCAATAAATGTAAATATATAAAGTATGTAGATCTACTTAAATATATGAATATATGCAAAATAAACAAGCCTCAAATATATATTTATATGTATATGAAACATTAATATTAATGTGATTTAATAATATGAATATAATGTAACCTATATAATTATGAAGAGAGATTTTTATATTAATATAATACTTGCAAACATAAAAATCACCTGCTTTTATTATAAAATTGTAAATTTTTTAAAATCTTATTTTATTTAATATTTACATTTCAATGCATGTGCATATACAACATATTATAAATAAATATTATAAATAATATTATGGCAATCTGAAATAATATAATAAAAATGATCCTAAATATATCGAATATGTGTGTGTATAATAATTATTTTAGAAAACTGGTCAGAGGGAGAGAAAGGGAGGGCGAGAGTGGCGTGTGGTGTATTCAGACACTTCATTAAGTGAATGGGGGGCCGGTTTGAGAGACTCACACTTGCTTTACATGTGAGCACAAAGACATGAAGAACATAAATGGTGCAGCATGCAGGCAGATGCCGACATCATCCTGTCCTATGAAGCTCCATTCATAGTAACTGTGGCCTGCACTTATCATCATTGTGCACACTGATAATGTATGTGTGTGTTCAACATACTGTACTGGAGATCTGCTTCAAAATTGCATTGATTCATAAAGTCTAACATTTCTCCACATAACAGTTATCATTATTTACTACTGTCCAAGAATCTGCATAAACTTAAAACACTGTTGTTATTATTAACTAAAACTTAAAAAAAATGTTCTGCGTAATTGAAATAAAGCTTAAATCAAATAACATTCATATTAAAAAACTTAAACTTAGAAAACTTAAATGAAAATGAGAAATGTTGCTTTGACAAATAACTGAAATGCTAAAGTACTATAAACTTAAAATGATTAAAACTAAAATTGAAATTTACTAAATCTATGTAGAAAAAAACACTGATAAAAATGACAAAAGCACATAACAAAATTGCTAAAACAAACTAAAATTAAAATGAAAACTAAAAATATAAAAATAAAAGCTAACACACAAATTCTAGTTGACACTGCAGATTTACAGAAGAAAAACGAAGCGAGTACAGCTTGCCAGACAGACGGGACAGAAGACGCGGAAGGGAACCGAACAGAATGTACGCTGGTTGTTGTATCAACTCATTTTAAGACTGTGTGACATTTCAGGCCTTTCCTTCTCTTTTTCCCTTTCTCTCTCTCTCTCTCTCTCTCTCACAGAATGGGGGTGTTTGGGAAGGGGAGGGAGCGTATCAGAGGGGGGTCTGTCTGTCTGCGTGTGTGAAGGCACAGACGGTTCAGTAGTAATGTGATGTGTGTCCCGAGGGATGTTTGATGGATTAATGCTGAGCAGCTCCATTGCGATGTACCACCTGATCTCACTCCCACCGTCTGCCTCTATAAAACCTGCCTGACTGCTGATCTCAGCTAGTCTCTCAGTCTCTCCTGTCTCTGTCTGTCTGTCTCTCTTTCTTCCTATCTCTCTCTCTCTCTCTCTCCCTTCTCTCTCTCTTCCTCCTCTCAGCCGCAGGCCAGGAGCTATCCAGTGCTGAACAAGTGAATTTTTTCTTTTTTTCAGCAGCGTAAGCAGGTGTGTGTGTGTGTGTGTGTGTACAGTAGCAGGCACCAGACATCTCTCTCTTCTCCTGCGTGCTCATTTTTTTCTTTATCTAGTCACCTTTTTTTTTTTAGTTTCTGGGACGTGGATCTTTTTTTGTATACACTGGATTTCATTCGGGACGATTTTCACCAGGGTTTGTTTTCTGTCTGCGGCCGATGTGAAGGATTTCTGGTGCGTCTGTGCGACCGTGTGTGAACCATGCCTCGCTCATTCCTGGTGAAGAAAATCAAACTGGATGATTTCTCCTCATCTCCCGTGTCAGCGTCTAACCATCATCATCATCATCATCTCGATGACTCCTTCACACGCTCTCGCTCCAGCCTGGGCGTCCGGCTTTGCGAAAACGGTGAGTGTGATGCCTAAATATATTATTAAATACAGATACAGTAGCTTCACTTCATGTGCTTGATGTTCTCAAATGGTATAGCCTACAAAAAATATCTGTTGTGTGTTTCGAACATTGTGCGTAGAGTCCAACAGATGTTACATAAAGCTTTCCGTTCTGTTGCGAACTAATCCGTAAAACCCTCCATCCTTTCACCCCCAGCCCTGTCCTCCATTGTGCCCCCCAGACTTTGTTTGTTTTTGTTTTTTTGACTCATGGCGACACAAATCAGGTCACGCAGCGCGATCAGCTTATGCGAATAAAGCCGTATGAAGCGGGCTTGATACCAGTTTGTTGTGTTTAACAGCTAATGCTAACACTAACACGCTGCTTTGTGGGGCTGATGTGTTTGTCCTTAGCTGATACTGCCCTTGAGTTTCGATCCAAACCCTCCCCCCTCCCAACAGCACTCTCTCTTTCTCGCTCTCCTCCCCCATCCTCCTTTTCTGCCTCATCGCACTATTTCTCTTTTTCACTCTCCTGCTTCCGGGTACATGAATCTAAGTGGTGGAGGGGGAGGTAGGGTTTCAGCCATCATTGACACCAATGGAGACATCCGAGGACTGTACTGTACGGCTCGAAGGAGAACGAGGGACATGAAAAGAAAGAGAAGCTGGAGGCAGCGCTGACTTATGTCACATGATGCAGCAGCAGCACACACACACAATAGGGCAAATAGCATCACACACACAGAGTAAAGCCCAGCATCCCTGCAAGCCCACCGGCCGCTCAGAAGACAAGTTCGCCGGCCGTGCCGTTGTCATGCCCGCCGGCCGCGGCTCACTCCAGTGTGCCGGCCGCGTCGAAGACAAGCTCGCCGGCCGCTCCGAAGTCAAGTTTGCCGGCCGCTCCGAAGACTCCATGGCTCCCAGAACTGCTAGATCTGCCATGACGCCCAGAGCAGCCAGATCCGCCATGGATCCCGGAACGGGCGCCGCCCTGCGGCGCCCCTTCTCCCGTGTTTTTATTTCTGTTTTTTGTCATCTTTTGTTTTCCCTTTTCTTCTGCCCGTGTTGAGGACCGCCCCGCTGTCAAGTTCGCCGGCCGTGCCGTTGTCATGCCTGCCGGCCACGGCTCACTCCAGCCCGCCGGCCGCGTTGAAGACAAGCCCGCCGGCCGCTCAGAAGTCAAGTTCGCCGGCCGCTCCGAAGACAAGCTCGCCTTACCCTTGTATTTAAGTTCCTGCCTGTTCAGTTTCCCTTTTGTCTGGTCTACTCGTTGCGTGGATGTGTTTCCTGCTGTCTCCTGTGTTTATGTACCCTGTGTTCCATGGATTAAAGACTGTTTCGTATATTCCTCGTCTCCTCGCTCCTTAGTTCCGGTAATCCTCGTGTGTGTGTGTGTGTCGTGACAATAGCATTACTGAATTACTTATTTTATATTATTGATTGTATTACTATATTATAGTTATATTCAGATTATTTATGCTATTTATTCAAACTGTGCAAGCTTCTTTCTTTCTTTCTTTCTTTGCTAATACCACAGTTTTACTTTGGTAACAATACCTATAGTCAGATGTTCTGACAGAAAATATGATTATGAAAAACCCCTAAGACAACGTGTGGACAATGTAGTTATATATCCTAAATAACATCCTCTCAGTCTCTCTGCTGATCCTGTTGATCTTTCTACTGGCCAGCTGCGTCCTTATTGCTCATTGCTGTCTTCAGTCTCACTGTATAACTAGCTTACGCAGATACTGCACTGCATTTAATGCCTTTTGGGTTTCCATTTTAGCACACAGATTTAATTATAAACATTTTGTTGAAGACATGGCACCTTGGAAGGTGTATTATGTCGGTGGAATTCCAATGGCAATAAACGTGTCTGAGCCCCACGGCTGCCAGAAATCCTTTTAGCAGCTCCTGAATGACCCTCACGATGCATTAAGACTCGCTCTTCATGGTCAGAGGGCTCCATAATCAGTTTAGATAAGTTAGGAGGGAGTTTATTTGCTTCAGCAGATAGAAAGGTAATAAGATGTCCTGTATTAGGAAATACATTTGTAATATACTTCAATGTTTGGAACAATTTCAATGTTTTGAAATCTGGGAAAGAGCTTCGGTTCTCTTCAGAGAGAAGTGAAAGTGTTTTGTAAAGTCCAGATTTCCTTAAAACGGTTTAAATCCATTCATAATGTCAACCTCTCTTTACTTCCACTTTTAACAGATTATGCTGTGCACAGTGGACATATAAACACAAAACTCTAAGGAAGGCCTCAGATAATGGAGAGAAAGAGAGACAGTTATGCTTCCACCACAGTTAACCTGCTTAATTAGCCATTAACCATGTTAAAACCCTTTGGGTCTCAATCTCTCTCTCTCTCTCTCACACACACACACACACACACTTACATGAATGAGCTATGCATTAGTCCTCAAACAGCCATCAGAAACTGTGGAAGCCCATTTGTACCTCATAGCAAAAAATAAATAAGTTTAAAATCAGAAATAACATCACAATTGTGAGATATAAAGCCATACTATGAAATATAAACTCTCATTTGAGATACAAAGTCACATTGCAATATGTAAAGTCACAATTGTGAGCTAAGAGTTCATATTGTGAAAACAAATTCGCAATGTTGAGATAAGAAGTCACATTATGTCAAATTAAATAAAAAATGAATGAATGAATACATTAATAAAAAGGTAATAGGCAAATAAATAAAAAAATCTGTATTAAAAATTGGTTTCCACCATACAAACTATATCACTGAAACAGGTATTTACACTCTTACAAATAAAGGTTCCAAAAGGGGAACATTCGCAGCAATGCCACACTATTTTGGGATCCTGAAAGAACCTTTCAGTGACTGGTGCTTAAAAGAACCTTTATTTTTCCTTTGTGTGAAGAACATTTTAATAATCAAAAGAACCGTTTTCTTCCTTTTTTGGAATGGAAATGTTCCATGGATGTTAAAGGTTCTTCATGGAAACACAGTTGCCAATAAAGAACCTTTATTTTTAACAGTGTATTTGTCATTGCACTTGTTGTACTTTTATTTTGTTGTGTCAGACATTCACATTGTGTCTGTAGTGTACTTCATTTGTGTCTTTAATTGCTTTACACCTTGAGTTCAGTGTAGAAGTGAAAGGTCAATGAGGTAATAACCTATTCATGTTCTCTGCTCTGCTGCAGGCTACATCCAGGATTGCATCAGCCCTTCTGAATACACAGAGGAGAAGCAGGCCGACATGAAGCTGAGCTCGGATCCACTGTACTCCCCAGTCAGCAGCGGAGGAGGGGAGTACTGCCAACCGGACCTGGAGCACCCGGACAGCCCCCAGTCCGGCCTCACGGCCCGCGGATACTTCAACAGCGAGAGCGAATCTCTCAGCGAGGGTTACACCATGGACGCGTTCTTCATATCTGACGGCCGTTCAAGGAGGAAGGGAGAGGTCGCAGAAGCAAGGAAAGCTGCCGATGATGAGAAAGAAGTGGCGGCGGTGAACAACGGAGGTTCCCGACACACCTGCAACGAGTGTGGAAAGACCTACGCCACTTCATCCAACCTGAGCCGACACAAGCAGACCCACCGCAGCCTTGACAGCAAGATGGCACGCAAGTGTCCCACCTGCGACAAGGTTTACGTGTCCATGCCGGCGCTGGCCATGCACATCCTCACTCATAACCTCAAGCACAAATGTCACGTGTGCAGCAAAGCCTTCAGCCGGCCCTGGCTGCTTCAGGGGCACATGCGATCGCATACGGGAGAAAAACCCTTCGCCTGCGCCCACTGCGGGAAAGCCTTCGCCGACCGGTCCAACCTACGAGCGCACATGCAGACGCATTCGGCCTTCAAACACTACCGCTGCAAGCGCTGCAATAAGACCTTCGCGCTGAAGTCCTACCTGAACAAGCACTATGAGTCCGCCTGCTTCAGAGGCTCCGGAGACGAGGACGAGTCTGGCTCCGAGAATTAACAAAAGAGAAAAGATGAAGATGAGTTAACGCTCTCAAAAATCCCCCCAGAGACTCCCTTCACAGACCCCACTTTCCCTTTTTTAGAAAGCAATATTTTCACCAAGAAAAAAACCAAACCAACCCAATAATAAGAAGACAATAATGAATAGATGCTGGATTTTTTTCTTTGGTAAAAAAAGACCCTCTCATATAGACACGTACAATTATGAGGCTTGGCATGCAAATTTTTATGAACATAATACTATTAATAACGATAGTAATAATATTTAGATTCCTGATGTTTTATAGTAAATCATAAAAAGACAAAGACAGCAACAGGTTTGTGCTTTTTGAGAAATGAAATCAATTTGTATTTTTATGCTGCTCTTTTATTTTGAATTCTTTTGCAACTGCCAACATGAACTTTTTATGAAAATATGAATAATGACAGTATTTGCAAAAAAGAAAAAAAAAAAAGATTGTAGACCTCTGAAAAGGTACAAACTTTTGTTACACTTTTGGTATTTTATTTATAATTGTTATTTTTATATTCAAAGTTTCCTGCTATTTCTTGGTTCCATTATTTATTTGTTTATTTATTTATTGTGCCAATCATGTCCAGTAACTATTCGACCAGAGCGACCATCACTCTGTGTTTACCATACGGAGGAAACAGCACTCAAGACTAAATATTTCAATGATCTCCAAACATTCGAAACATTCAAAATACGGACGACAGGGACTTTCAACAACATCTCTGCTCGCTCTGCTGGGCTTCCTCACACTAAAACAGACTGCATGTGCTCCAGATGCCTGGAGCTCCGCCCCTTGTCTTCCTGCTCCATGATTACCTCACCCAGAGGCAGGTATGACCTCTAACCTCTGCTCTGTCCACGCTCTCAAAGCGCCCATCACACAAACCTCATTTCTACCATTCCAGTATTTATGTATTTATTTATGCACTATTTTCATTTTCTTATTTATTTAATGTGTATTTATTTATGTACCTATCTATCTACTTATTTATTTATTTATTTATTTGGTCGATAACTCTCTGTGTTATTGGATACTGAACTGCCGTTGAACTTTTAAGATGCTGCTCTTTAATGAAAATCTTTATATGCATGATTCAGCTGTAGAGGGATTTTATTCTTTTTTTTGAAAGGGACGGTATGCAGTGTTTGAAAGCAGATGAATTCAGGTGTGATGCTTTGTTTAATGGGCAATAATTCTTCTTAGGAACAGCAACTTGTATAATCACAGCTGTCCTGTTAGCAGTCAATGTAGGGCAATAAACAAAAACCTCCTTAATATCTCGAAGGTCACTCTCCATTTCGTCGTTTCTAGAACTCCATTTCTTGCTAAGACCATCCAGAATGTCTACATATGGTGTGTATGTGTGACTCCACCCACATTTGTGACATCACAGTTCATCTCATTGCCAAATGCCAAACAATTTAGTAATCGAGAAATCTCTTTTACATGTGAACACCAACAAAAACATTCATTAATATATTAATCCCTGAAAGTGCAAATCGAACTCGACAGATAATAAAATTCTTGTTCTTTTTGTACTTACAAATTTAAACAACATTTTAATAAGAAAATCAGCCGCAATAAGCCTTTTTCTAACAGAATTTTTACTATTATCACAGACTTAATATAACTGTCTTATGTATCAGCAATAGTTTTGAATGCCATTATAAAAAGACTAACCCACAACATGACATATTTCATGAATTTGGCTTTAGCGGTCCAAATAAATCCCATCATAAGCTGCGGCCGACAAACGATGACATGAATATGACAGAGTTTCAGTGACATGTGAAATAGAAGTCCCAAATCCTAGACCCAGAAATAATGACCTCCCTGAATGGCCAATCAGGATGGATTATTCAGTGTTTGGGAGAGAGGAGTGCTGTGTTCAGGACCGAGATGAAACAAAATAGAGGCTTAATGGCAGCATTGATGGAAATAGCTGAGCATATGGCGCCAATGTGCTGATGCCTGTATAATAAAGATCTGAAACATGTTTGGAGATGAAAGGATGAGAAGTGCAATCAGAATGCGACAGTGTAAATCAGCGGTCTCCTTGCTGTCTCTCCTGTGAAGTAGAAAAAGCGGAAACAAAGCTACTTATTTTATAATAAAATTAAATTTAGCACCATCCTGAGGAATGAAACCTTGCATAGGACAATATGCATCAGCATATATGATGCAGCTCATGTCAGAGTGAACTGAGGCTGCGTCCACTCCCCTAAAGGGTTAACAGGTGTTGGTGGACAGACAGTAGTCTGAGAGCATAATTGAGTCTGAGTTTGACCTTGTGAGGAAGGTCGTGCAGCACCAGCCAAAGGCTCTGTCAGCGTTTTGCATATTATAAAAAGGACGGCACAATCTCAGTAATGGGCCAAAACCTGTGGGGAATAGGTAATTAGTTTCTCCTCCCACTTTTCTTCTCCTCTTCGCCTCTTTTCCACCCATTCCTGACCTCGTACATTGGCAAGCTGTGTCTCAACGTGTCTTAGCAGAGTTCTGCATGGTATTTCACACTCATTGTTGATGGACATCAGTGTCAGAAATATAATAACAGCTATTAAAATTAAAAATGCACCCTCTGGAACAGCTGGAAAATTTTTACTTAAAAAATTAATACTTGATCACTGGTTGTGTACCTTATTCTAGACAGAATAAGGTACACAGACCAATAGAATAGAATATTATGATATACACACACACACACACACACACACACTACCATTCAAAGGTTTGGGGTTTCAACTGATTAAATTGATCAAAGGTGACAGTAAAGACATTTAGAATTTTACAATAGATTTCTATTCAAATAAACAATCATTATAATCATCAAAGAATCCTGAAAAAAAATATCATGGCTTCCACAAGAATATTAAGCAGCAATATTAACTGTTTTCAACATTGATAAGTGAAACTGAAGACTGGAGTAAGGCTGCTGAAAATTCAGCTTTGCCATCATAAATTACATTTGAAAATATATTAAATTGAAAACAGTTCTTTTAAATTGTAAAAATATTTCACAATAAAACATTTTTACAGTATTACTGTTCAAATAAATGCAGCCTTAAGAGACTTTAAAAACATTTTTTAAAAATCTTACTTTTGAATGGTAGCATAAATGAAAAATATACAAATGTTATCTAACAGATATATCATATAGAAATGTGTCCTCTCATTTTAAATATCTGGAGCACATTTTGTGGTATTCTTGCTCCAAATCCTATTCATTTCTGACCCTAATGGACATTCACCCTGCTTTTTTTCCTAAATCATCCCCTCATATTTCTGACACACCCACAGCTGTGAAGAATCAACAGACTATCTGTTATGAATATCCATCTGGATATTTTCCATTGTAATAAGGCTTGAATTCAGAGTCAATTCTAATTATGCAAAGCTTGATGTAATGTAGATGAGATCTTTTAAATACTATTCCAAAGGACTACCACCATCTCTTTGTTTTAAGAAAATTCATTTTTCCACAAATGTTCAGAAACGTGAGATAACTGAAGAGAATGAGAAAGTGAATGCTTTTTTTCCTGAAGCAAGTGTAAATATGTATGTATATAGATCTCAGCAATAATGAGACACCGCATGCAAGCAGATCCCTTTGCTTTTACCTTTTCTGAGCCGTTTAACCCTGGACAGGCTGAACAGGATCAGGGACTTCATTAGCTCATTACCTGCTGTAGCTACCAGCAATATTAACAATGCTAATCATTCTCTCTCTGTTCACTAGGATCTACACATATTTCTTTGTCTCGGTCCCTCTTTTTCTCTCCTGTTTTTTTTCTTCTTTTGTGGAAGTGCCCAGCCTGGCTGAACAATAATATGAAGTGCCAAAAAAATAAACTTATTTCCATAACAAAAGCCTTCAGCATATGGTAGGCAACTCACAGCCCTCCATATGGTCCTTGAGAGATTTCAGATTGTCTCTTCTTTTCCCTTGCCTTCTCTCTCTATCTTCCTGCCTCCCTGTGTAAAACCGTAAAGATTTTTCCACTTCTAATATTACATTTTGCCTGTTATGAAGGGTAAAGCCAATAGTGATGTTTATGAACAATAAAATCAATAGCACAAGCAGTCTGTTGCCTCTTTTTTATTTGACTAAATGTTTTACTTTCTCTCAAATGAAACGTATGAAACGTACACTGAAAGTGCTTTTAGATTCCACTCACGGACCCCTGACCCCAGTTTAAAACCCCTGCATTGGTAGAACTGTGCTTGTAGTCTGTTCTTCTTACTGTTAGACGGATATAAATTCTGATCACAAACACAAGACTACAGAGTCACAAATCAGAATGAATGAGCGACTTCTTCCTGTGTTCCTCCCTGACAACACCTACATATCTCAGCAATGGCGCTGCTGATCTGGGATCAGCTTTTCCTACAAGCATCAGTGCTGTAACTATCATCGGAAGAACATTCAAACTGTAATCAAGTCAGCAGCTAAAGTCACTCTGAAACCTGGCGCACATGCATCTGTCCTGGTGCTGTTAAGGCAGTCCAAGTCATTAAATGTTAATGAAACATTGATTTTATGTTACACCCTGGCCTTACCAAGATGCAGCACTCAAGAGCTGAATGAGTCTGATTACTGATGCTGAGGGAGAGAGACTGTCATCAGGACAGAGGAGGACTGATATCCAAGAAACCGGAAACACGAGTTGACCATTATGTCCTTCACTGTCCTACAGTGTTTTAGCACGGCTTCGGTTTCTGCCTGACTGATTGATTTAATGGATGACATTGCTATATTCATTAACTGGTGCTTCTAAAAATGTAAATATAGGATACGTTCGGCTCTTGGTTTACTACTTTCATGTATGTACAGGCAGAGTCATAAATTCCATAAACATTGATTGAGAAAAGAACCATCCAACGGTCAGAATAGTAGGCGATAAATATGTTTTTTCAAATACTTTCTCAAACATTTGGTTACAAACTGTTACACTTGTTAGTTAGTACAAAATGATCCATCCATGATCACATTTAGTAAACATTTACCTTAATATAAACTCATAAATTCAAACCCTGAGCCGCTGCTCAGACCAGTACTGATTACGGTTGTATAATTTTTATAACTGTTTCTTATGTATAGTTGACATTTTATCAGCATAACAAAGCCATATTGTTTTTTTTAATAAAATTTATTTTATAAAATTTAATTCATTTTGAGTTAGGTTAGGCCCTTTCTTTCTCCCTTAAGAAGTCCCCTAAATAGTATAAACTTACAAGTAAAATCAATTAGTTTTTTTGTGGGTACTAGAAACTATTTTTTGTGAGTGATTCCATATAGTAGATTTTAATTGAATTAGACTTAATTATATTTAAATTGTAATGTTACGTAAAACCTACAAAGTAATTATTTAATTACGTCACATACATTTTACTATATTAAACATAGTTAGAGACCTTTATGCAGATACTTTCCTTATGAAGGAATATAACATTGGTCCAGGTTTAGTAGCGAGTATCACTCTGAATAAAGAGGTCAGTGTAACTGAAGTCTTATTGTGGTGATGCTGCCATTAGATTTCATAAGAATCAATTATTAAACACCATCATCTGCAATATTGAACATGCAACCCTAAACCACTCAACTCCCTGATAACACGCTGTCCTACTGAGCTTTACCCTTTACTGGCACATGACGTTGAGGATGACATGAGGTTTTATTTTCTATCACTGATCCTAATACAAGAAACGAGAACAATGTAAAAAGAGAATTCCAGTGTTTGAGTGCCTTCATATGATGAAATCCATGTGGTGTCACTAGTATATGCAAATGTGTGTGTGCAAATACTCTGGTCATGGATGTATTTAGTAGGCTACAGTAGTTACTGATTACCCTTTAAGAGATAAGAGCACCTAATCCTCCCCTGGCTCACCCTCACTTGTACGTGTGGATATTGACCAACACAATGATACTGCTCAGTGTTTCTCAATCCTGCTCCCAGAGGCCTCCCAACACTTCACATTTTAGAAGTGTTACTTGAAACAACTCATTAGTAAAGTGCTCCATCAAAGGGTTAGGGGTTTGGCTGGATCTGAGATACTGTAACTACACCAGTCTGTTGCCAAAAAGCATCTTTTTTTGTACCCTTTTCACATTTTTGGGGGTCTCAGAAGCAGAAGTCATCATATAGTGGAGAACAGAAACTACAGCATATATATTATTTGTGTTCCCATTTGTTACCTTTTTTGACAGTTTTATGTTAATGGCATCATTTTCTGTGCGTGTGCCATATAATACTATGGCATATGATAGTACTACAGCATCT